GGGGGGGGGGGGGGAGGTGTATCATAGTTAAGAGTTACCAATTTGAGCAAGGTTTGATTATTTAGCCAAACGTCTTCTCTAAATGCCACTTTATCAAATGCATTAAGAGTCATCAATTTTTGGAATTAGGGGGCTGCCACTTTAGGCCTTATCCAACTTTTAATTAATCTTCCACTAAAATCATTAATTACCCAATTATCCACCTAATTAAGAATTATCTCAAATTACTTAAAATAGTACTCACTTTTAACACACTTTATGTACTATACTATCATGGTCAGGTGGTACCATATAAAATCAATACATAAACTATTATTTCATTAAATATTATATTTTTTCAATTTCTAATTTTCCTAATCTCGTATAAAGAGTACAAATTTTCGTATGCTTAATTCTTAAAATGGTAAAAAGATAACCTTCTTTTCTAGTAAGAAAATAATTTCTATCTTTATAATAAAGAAAATTTCATAAACTTTCTTATATTATGTGTATAATTTAAAGCATATTCGAAATTAGTAATATTAATAACTATATTATCATATTTTTCAAACTTTTTACAAATATGTTCCACTCAAAATGCCACATCAAATGTATATAACGGTATCAATATTGTTAAACTTATGGGGTATTACAATAACATAGTCACAAATCCTTTATAATCTCATGAATGGTCTTAATCCCTTCAAGCTCATATGGATTACTACGACTTATCCTAATATTAAAGTACGGGATGCAACATCATACTATCCTGAGCCGAGGGTCTATTGGAAACAACATATCAATCCTTACAAGGTATAAGTAAGGTATGCGTACACACCACCCTCCCCAGACCCCACAATGTGGGATAATACTGGGTATGTTGTTGTTGTACTGTTCAGGAAGAACAAAGTCATCGGTGCTTCGATTTAAAATATTTGTATTATTCGATTACAAATTTTGGGAGATGAAATGAATATTTGTGAAATCGAATCTATATTTATTGGAATTTTTCTCTCTGATGAAACAAATTAGTAGTTAAATTAGCCATGGAATTCCTTGCCCCTACATAAATTGATTTAATTTTGTAAATTAGATGAAGGGTGGCCTTTTGTTATGCTGGTGGTTGGCGGTGGCAAGAGAGAAAATGAGGGGGAGGTTACGGGTTGGGTTTGCAGGGAAGGGACTGGAAAGCATTTTGGGAATGTGGGTAAAATATACTTAGTTTTTTTTTTATCTTTTGTTTTTAGTATTTGACACGTGTTAGGAAAATATTGGTGCATGCCCTCACTCCCTAAGGTGAAAGTGGAGTTGGCCTGAAAAACGTGTACCATTATACAAGGGGACTCCTGTATATCTAGTAAAGTGCAGCTTGAGTTTCGACATGCCTGTTTAGATGTATTTTAATTTTTGTTCAAGGATAATATGGACCTTTAACAACAGCTAATGAAACGTGTGCTTTAATCTCAAGATTGGATCGTCACCGCATCAGTTCTTCCACGGGTCCATCCAATTCACAAAACATGTGTCTGTGGTTTTTGTCTTCTGTGTAATTTGAGCTTAACCTAAAGCACGAACAGACTGTTGCAATTCATTCTACTTTCCCTCTCCGTAGTCTCTCTGTGTGCTCTGTTGCTTCTTGGCCACAAGCCCACCTTCATCCTCCCAAATCTTTTTGTTTATTTAAGAGTTAGGCTTCAAGGCAAAGCTTCTGTTCGCTACCAAGTCACGCAAGAAAGGAGGAGAAAAATTGTACGTGATTTGTGAGACAAGTTAACTCGCTACCAACTCATGTTACAAAGGAATCGTCGTAATCTTTGCTTGGGATTCAATCGAGGTAACTTAATTAAAGAACCAAGTTAATCTTTAGTTCTATTTGTGGATAATTGTATTTCTCTAACTGTAATATAGGAATTTTGTCTATGCGATTATCCTTTATTTTGTGTGTTATAAAGTACATTTTAGTGCGACGTTCGTGTTTTATTTACACTTTAGTTGGATCTATTTTTAGAAGTTCAATGTAGAAAAAATACATCATCCCGGGCGATATAAATATGACCTCTCAATAACTATGGGAGAAGGTTGAATCAAGTAGAACACTGGTACTAAACGAAGATGACATCACATGTTTTGATTTCGTGGTCGGGAAAGTTTGTGCCCGTTAAAATAGTAATAGTACTACTAAATGCTCCAAAATTTCTAATGAAATTAAAAAATAGACTAGGTTCAACAGCTCTGCTTTTTACTATATTGCGTTTAACCGTTGAACTTTTTGTGTTTATATCAAATTTGAGAATATTTAATAATAGCAAGCTTAAGGTTGGAATTTCTTGCCTTTTGCACCTTTCTGGAATTGTAAAGTTTTGATTTCTACATTGAAGTTTTGTTTGTGTATTAGTAAAACTGTTTGTAAGTTGTGTGGCGCCAGTACACGATAATTTTGACAGGACTGGTGCGGAGCAACACTGTCATAAAGATCCATTAAAGCCTCAAAAAAAGCAAGTGATGAGACTGCTCCAGCTTCAAGTACCCAAAGTAGAGTAACAACGTAGTAAATATAATTTGATCTTCCCTGCAAATATTGAACCAATTATGGCTAAATTATATCATGTTTACTCTAATTTGTATTTTATTTTCCTTTTTAGACATCATTTTGAGGTATGGTTAAGAATTTAGGTTTCTTGAATACAAGAGGTAGTGCATTGTGCTATGTAGTCCAAATACTCAGGTATTTGTGGAGGCGGCATATATTTATGCCAAATGGAAATGGAATTTCCTCGATTAACTCTTGAGCTTGAGGAAAGCTATATGTTTGAAAAAAACATATTGTTTCTAGATAAGACCTTATATTCTTCGTACTTATGCGAGAGGTAACTGCTAAAATGGTCGAAAATTCCTTTAACTATTCACCTAAAAGTTTTATCATTTCATTTAGCATCAAATATGGGAGTGAAAGAGCGTCTATCTAAAAGAGCAATGAAGAACACATGCATAGCATGCTGCAAATTAAGTAACTAGAGTAGAGAAGATGGACAAGTTGAAAAAAAAGGACAAGTATAAGAACAAACACTTTTGATTACAATCTGATTATGTTCCCTTGAAGGCTATTCCTAATTGTAAATTTTGCGGTGCAAAAAGATTTGAATATAAACCACATGTATTCTGCTGTAATAATGGTTCGATCAAGTTAGTTTCACATGAAATGCCGGTTGAACTGCAAAAATTATATTTAAGAACTACCGAAGAATGTAAACATTTTCAAACATATAGAACATACAATAATATTTTGCATTTACATCACTTGGTGTAAATTATGATAAAGAATTAGCAAAAAAAAATTGTGGTATTTATACATTTAGAGTTCAAGGGAAGATGTACCATTTTATAAATGATTTAGTCCCTCCGAGTGGAATAACAAGAAATTTATAATTATACTTCTATGACAACGATAACGAATTAGCTAACAGAATGGCTTGCTCATAAAAAAAAAAAAAATCATGAATCAATAGTCAAAAAAATTGAAAGTCACTACATCAAAGGATAATATATCGAGAAAGTTTTCTGGGGTCATACAACATTTCAATAACTTCTCACTTAAACACAAGGTATCTAAGTGTGAATAAATGATCGTTGTAATGGGATAGAAATATACAAATACAATCATCAAATCAAGGCAATAATGTTACATAACACTTTAACAAAATTAAGACTTGTGAGCACGTAATTTTTGTCTGACGTATAAAATTGTTCCTAAAAAGTCAAAAAATAGTTTTCTACTTGTTTTAGATTTTTATAGGATTGTCAAAGAATTTTTCTTTATTTATTTTTTCTGCAATATATTGCATTTTTGCATTTTTCTTTAGCCTAATTAGGAATAGCTTAAATCACAAAACGTCAAAAAAATATTTTTTTATGTTTTGTCTTGTTGCATTCTAACACTTTAGTTGCATTTTTAGGATTTAATTTCATCGTTAGATGCATTAGTTAAATACATAAAATCACAAATTGTATTCTTAGATTAGTTAATTAGTTGCATTAGTCCATCATTAGGTAAAATAGATAAATAGGCTAGCCATACAAAAATGGGATTTAATTAGATTGTTGAGTCTAAAGTGGTTAATTGTGCAAAGCCTAATAAAGAAGGAAAAGAGTGGCTCTTTAGAGGTTAAATTCGAACGCGGGCCAGTTTTTGGGCCCAGCTCTTACCCAATTTCCCTCCATCTGCCCCAACCCCGATTGCCCAGCCTGCCCGGTCCTTCAAAATGATGCCGTGGAAAACCTAAACGGCGTCATTCCCTTCCCCTCACTCATTATAACTCCATCTTCCCCAAATCCCTTAGAGAGACGGACACCCCCNCAAAAAACCCTACTAGCAGCCGCCTCCCCTAACGCCATTTCCTCTGAAGAACCGGATCCCCTCGCTCAAAAAACCATGGGAGCCGCCACCTTCACACACACAATTCCTCACTTTCTTCTCATTTTCTCATACCAAAATCTAGATTCAATCTCTGATTTTCAGATTTGAAAACAAAAACAAAGAACCCCCAAAACAAGAAGAAAAACTAAAACTAAAATAAAATAAAAACAGAATCTAAAGCTGGTTTCGGATTTCATTCAATTGCTGCACGTTTTCTGGGATTTCTCTAAGTGGTTTGAGCTGTTGAAGTTGTTGAATTTGTTGGATCTGCTTGTTTCTGGAGTTTCTGAACTTCATCCTCTACTTTCAAACCATCGTTTAGTCATTTTGGTTATTTTCTTGCAAGCTAGGTATGTTTATACCTCCATGTTACTCTTGTTTGCTCTCTTTTTATGTCATAATTCTGTCCAAATTGCATAGACTTATTATGTGCAATTGTTGAGTTGCGTTTTGAATAGTTTCTTCTGTTAAAATTGTGATACTATTTGTCTTATAATTATGTTTTGTTGTTGGATCTGGCGTATATAGTTGCTGAATTGGTTTGAGACTCTCCCTTTGTTGAACTTTGAAAGTATCAGTGGGTTAGAAAATGAAATATTCAACTGGTTATGGATAGTTTAATGCTTACTGTCATAGCCATTTAAGCTCTAAGATGGGTACTCACTATTTCAAGCAATCAGTATTCATTTTCCATCTTCATGTTACGGTTCATTGTAATTAAATTATGAATGTAGCCAATCTGGTAACTTTGAAATGAACGTGTTGAGCTAACTTTGTGAAAACTGTTGGTGTTATGTGTGTATTGGGCCTGGCCACTTTTACGCCGCGACTGTCCAACCCTGTTAACTGGAGTCCCTTGACTCCAATGCTAAGGCAGTGTTGCTCAAATGTGGGCATTGCCTGAAATCCACGCGAACTAACCCCATTCGGCCCATTTGTTCTTATCACTATTTTGATCAAAGTCAGTAGTAGCCCACATTAATTAACCAACATCCTTTATACAGATTTTTAATTTCTATTTCAATTCAGGACCCTTTGAAAAAGCCGAGGTTCTATTTGAGTACTAGGTAGGGATAGCCCGTGCCAGCACGGGCCCAATATATTTGATATTTAGCCTTTTTCTTTTTCAATTGCAGCAATGATAGTAAACAAATCGAAATAGATAATCATAATCAAAAGAGTTTTCCATACAACATGAGCATAATCTCATTTTTTTATTTACAATATGTGCAAAAAGGACATAAGAACAATGCCTTTCAACAACCAAGTTTACTGTGTTTTATAGCTTCAATAATACTTCTATTATGTTCGTAACTTAAATCCAAAATCAGCATAAACCAAAGCCCTTGGGAAAGTTTACTGTGTTTTAAGTGTTAGAACAAAATTTTCAAAGGGTCCTGAATTGAAATAGAAATTAAAAATCTGAAAAGCTATAAATAAATAGCCCTCAATTCCTAAGCCCCTCGCCTCGCTGCCAGTGTACACTGCTGCCTCTTATATCTTTGCTCTCTATATGATTATGTGCGGTTTCTTCAATTAAGAAAAATCCTCACCACTTAAAATTGATTGTACTTACAGTTGGTTTTGGGTATTTCACTGTTTGGTTCGTTTCTAGTTTGAGAATCCGGACCATCCCTTGCTTGTGCTTAAGAGTTCTTATTACTGACTGAACTTTGCCTTACTTGACAATTAGCTTGATTTCCTGTAAGAAATTGGGTCCGTCCTTTTAGTTTATGTTGATAAATTAGAATTTTTTCCTTGTTTACCTTCAATTTCCATCAGTTTGTGTTCTTAGATTATTCTTACTGACTTAACTTTGTCTTTTTTTGCCAATTACTAGCTGTATGTTTCAGTTTCCGAATTTGCTTTGGCCTTTTTGACACTAGGGAAGCAAAACGAAATTAACAAAAGCTAGGATTCTTACTTTGTTGTTCACTTCAGTTTCAGACTTCAGTTTTATCGTGACTCCCTATCCTCGTCGTCATTGACTAGTCGTCTAGCGGTCCCAGCCGTGTCTCTTTCTAATCACTCGTCCAGGTAAGATTATGTATTTCACTATTTTTATTTCTTTCGTTTCATCTTTAAAAGGAAGCTTTGTTTATTGTTTACTTTACTGGAAGTTTCGTTCTTTAATTGAAAGAGTTTTGTTTGCTTTCACTCGTGTTGTTTGATTTTTAATCTGCTAAGTTGCTGCTGCTTCTTACTGTTTTTAATGCCTGTTTGTTTATTCTCTTGTTTTATGTTTCTCTGAATAAAAACTCGTATTGTTTTGGCCATTTTCATTTCACGTGCTTTTGTGATTGAATTCTGATTCTACATCGTTTTAAATGAATAATTTTGATGATATTTTTATGGTTGCTAGTTGTTTTCTTTCTTGATCGTTTTAAAAAAAAATGTAACCAAGCCAGGTGTATGTTCTGTCATGTTGCTAAGGACTAAGGTACTAACAGGATATTCCAAGAATTACCTAATACTACTTTTTTTAGAATCAGTAAAATAAAGAATTAAAATATTTTAAAAAATCCAGGTAGAAATATAAGGAACCAGAGCTGGTGTAGTGGTTGATAGGAGTTCTGCCAAACCCAGTAACATTGGCTCGGACTTGTATATATGTTCAAAAATTCACTAAATGAGTACATATACTAGATTTCGAACTTAGTAAATTAAATGGGCTGTGGTAGAATTGCGTACTCGAACCCATAATGTTTAAATACTAGATCCGCCTCCTAAAGGAACACTGTTTTCATGCTCGTCCTCCACCTTGTCACCAGACACTTCCAATAGTAAAAACGTAGTTTTACCCAAGTTGGAGCAGGATCAAAATTTGGGGGAAAAGGATTGGAGATTTGAAAGAATCAAATCTTTTTAATCAAACCTAACTTTACAAACCAAACCGAACTAGTTATTGTTTGGTTCGGGTTTGCAATTTTACGAAATCTGGCAAACAAGCTATCCAATTTTTCTAGAAATGGAACTGAAGATATCGATGAATGCCCCTAACTTCACCTATATCAAGGCATCATCTGCGGGCTATCTTTTTATTTTTATTTTTATAAGTTATAAAATTAGAGTTTTACCGCAAGAAGTAGGCATATGTGAAATTTGTGATAACCTATATTTCTTTGATTTGTGAAGAAACCAAAACCTGGAGAAAAGAGAGAAACACAAAATGGGAGGGATCAGAAATGATCTAACTAACCAGCTTATATGATATATCACACACAATAAAAGTTGATTAGCTTCGATTCAACTATTTTAGATTTAAGCATGGAGCAAAATCATTCTTATACAAATAATTTTAACATAAAGAAAGTGATAGTAGCACAAATCCTTCTTATTATCGAGATCTTTAGTTTAACATGATGATACATTACTTTGATTTGTGATAACCTATATTTCTTTGATTTGTGAAGAAGAAACCAAAACCTGGAGAAAAGAGAGAAACACAAAATGGGAGGGATCAGAAATGATCTAACTAACCAGCTTATATGATATATCACACACAATAAAAGTTGATTAGCTTCGATTCAACTATTTTAGTTTTAAGCATGGAGCAAAATCATTCTTATGCAAATAATTTTAACATAAAGAAAGTGATAGTAGCACAAATCCTTCTTATTATCGAGATCTTTAGTTTAACATGATGATACATTAGGTATTTCTAACTAAAGTTTCTGAAAATTTTCCCAAGGGCTTTGGTTTGTAGTAAGAGCGTCGAGCGTGATGTGCTAGGGTCACGTCATGGCACGTCACGAGTTCAAACTCTGCGGCAAACAAAAAGCTTAGTGTTTAAGTGGAGAATGGTAGAGGGACAGACCCATTATCCACCGAGTTTCATACTGTGCGCCACTAGCACTTGAAGATTTCTTGGTTATTATAACACTTATGTTTAATCCAGCTTTAGAAATGATCCATATAAATTCAGTGATGTCTGGGAAAGCAGAGATAATGCTAGTTTCTAGAGACATTCTTAAAGAACAAATAATAATGAAAAAGACAGAAAAATAATGTAAGTCTCTTGAAAAAGACAGAAAAATATTGTTAGTCTCTTGACTAATCCATGTCAAATTTTGGTCTATGGTAGCCTGGTAGGTGTGTGTGTTGAAACTCAAAACTTAAGGGGTGTATCTAATTTTAGAACATGAGTAAGGTATTTGGAATTTTGGCAAATCTAGAGGGTTGTCCTTGTATTCTGATCTAAATTTGCTAAAGGAGAAAAACGTAATCAGACATTTGGCCATAACTTGCATGGAAAGATGGGAAGGGGCTGTGTTATATTCTTAAACTGAAAACGATAGAAGAGTGACATGCAAACAGATAAGATGTACCTTCTTTAGGGATTCTAAGTATTATCTATTATGCAGTTATCATAGTGAGAGAAATGATAAAATAAAACAAAAACTACATTTACCATTTTTCTTGATTGGGAAAAAAGAGCGCACGAGAAAGTTTACTTTCCTAGATTTTCTTTGTGTCTGGTTATTAGGGCAGTTTGGAAATCTTTGGTTGCAGATATTGTGTCGTAGTGCAAAAGGATGCAGTCTCTGAAAGACATTGTACCGGCTGCATTGAACAATATAAACACAAAATTCATTGTCTTGGAAAAAGGGAGGATAGCTTTGGAAGGGCAACAAAAGATGTGTTTGGCACTGGTGGCGGATGAGACAGCTGCAGTTCACTTTCAGATGTGGGGTGATGAGTGTTATGCTTTTGAGCCTGGGGACATTATCCGGTTAGAAAATGGCATCTTCTCTTATAACCGCAACAACCTACTGATAAGGGCAGGTAAGCGAGGCAAGGCTGAAAAGGTGGGAGAGTTTACCATGGCCTACGTGGAGACACCAAACATGAGTGAGATACGTTGGGCCCCTGATCCCAGCAACTCTAAAATATATGTGCCAGAGGCTGTTATTTCTCCCTTTTCACGAGTGTTTCCACCAATGAGTTGAGTATCGGGCAATCTTCTTTCTAACAGGTGCCCTCCTTTAAACTCTCTTACTAGATGGTCGCATTTTTTCTAACTTGAGCAAAAAAGCATCTCAAAGGTCATATGGCTATAATCAACACCGAAGTAGGGAGTTACCCATTCGATGATTTCATTGGATATGATTTTAATGTGTTAGTCTATTGAGCGCAGATTCTTTTGAAGGGTTTTATGATGCAGTGTACTGATGATTGCGGGGATTGATTTCCAAAGTGTAAAACCTTTAGTTTTTTTCTGATATACCCTGCGCATTATAGAAAGTAATGCCTCTTTTTCTCTATTTGGATTGACCTGAGCCTCAGCCTCTTTTTCTCTGGATTGACCTGAGTCTCATCTTGTGTGTGGTTGTTTGGTTATCAGCTTACTCTGCTTCAATGTTCAAATGAATGAGAAAACATCCTTAAGGGTGTATTTGGTATAACGGAAAATGTTTTCTTGGAAAACAAGTAGTAATCTTATTCATTTTTCGGTGTTTGGTACGCAAATTAAGGAAAATAACTTCTCAAGAGTATTCATAAATAATTTAGATACAATATTCATGAAGCCATAAACTTTCGAACCACCTACCTTCCTAACCCATAAATTTGATAAACTTCTGAACCACTAAACTTTCGAACCCGCAAACTTTTGAACCCGTAACCTCTATAATTTCTAAACCTGCAAACTTCCAAACACGTAGACCTATGAACTCATAACTTTGGAACTCGCAAAATTTTGAACCTGTAAACTGAAAAAATGAAAAAACCAGCACTGAAAATATAAGAAAAAAATTGCCGTGGGGTGGGGTGGGGGGTAGCGGTGACGGAAAAGAAAAAAAACTGAAATCTGAAAAAAAACTTTTTGGGGAGGGGGCGGGGTAGGCGAGAGAAGGGGGAGGGNTATGCAACCAAAAAGTGAAAAATGGGAAAATATTTTCCGTCATACCAAACACACCCCAAGCCTGGTAAAGTTTTCCTACCTAGCCCAAAAATGTGAAACATCTAATTTAATGAATTAATGTCACAGCTTTACCTAGATTCACTTCATCGAGCAACATAATGTGAAAATGGAGCCTCAAAAGTTAACTTGTTATATAGCTTGATACTTTGATAGTACTACTATATTTTTTTGCATTATTATTTTTGTACTGATCCATTCAGGTTAATGGATGACTTAAAAGAGTTTTCTATCTTTGATTTATTTCCTTCTTCTCTTATATCTTCTGCGTTATTCCTTTGGCGTTCCCACCCCACTTATTTTCTAGTAAAACCTTCTTTTCCAATTCCCCTCCCCCCCCCCAAAAAAAAATCCGTACAAAGGGAAATGCAAATACACCCCCTCGTCATTGAAACAGATTCACTTGTTCTAAAAAAAATAATTAAAGGAGAGAGTGGGAGGTACCTTGGAGTATTGGGAAAGAAATGAAGAAGATCAAGGACATGAAGGACCATTTCAATGTGACATTTCAGCATGTTCTAAGAGAGGGGAACTCAGTAGCAGATTACTTAGCTAACATTGCCTTTTCTAGTGCAGGTACATTAGAATTCCAACCATTCAATGAATTACCTAGTGCTTGAAAGACACTGATTAATCAAGACAAGAGTCAAATACCTAATCTAAGGATTAGGGTCGCAAGAAACAGAAATACTTTCCATGATTGACAATATTAAACTGGGGCCTAACATGATTAAGGACAGTTTTTACCTCAGCTATCAAATCATTGACCTGCTACACATCCCCACACATCAACATTTGGCTCTGAGGCTCACAAGCTGCAACAGATTGGAAGTTTGGACAAACAGTTGACTCCTTGGCAGTTGTTTTCTGTATTCTGCTATACATATTCAAGGGATGGTGGTCACATGATTTTTCTTTTTTCTTCTATAAAACACTTGGGCTGCTGGTGGTCAACTGCTCGAGGAAGATGGTTAGTTCTACAGCTGCAAGGAATGTTTGCAGCACGGGTTATCATTTTGCAGTTGATACATCAGTAAACAGGATGATACTGTCCAGCTTTGACACGAGGAGTACATCAGGCAATTCTTGGTTGGTTGTGAATGCTTCTGCACAAAACAAATGCTATGGATTTTGGCTAATAAATCTTCTTGGCTGCTGTGGCTACATCACCCAATTGACAACAAGACAGCAGCCACAACATTCATCCAATAATCAAATCCCAAGATTAGCCACTCCTTTCAGAAAAACCAAGAAGCTAAAATCAGAATTTTTAATCATAACATGTTTGCTAATGTCTGCACGTTCTATAGATAGGTTAATGCATCTGCTTGCAATGGATCCATTGGACATCTTGCTACACAATAGGGATTTCTCAGAAAAGATACATAGTGCAGCTGTGATTCTCACCTTCATCATCAACACAGGATATTTCCGCCGAAAAATCATGAAGCACACGAGCAGCAGTTGTTTGACAAACAGAATTTTAAAAATGGGAATCTATCATAATTGGTTCGAATGGCAGCATACACTGGCAATAACAGAACTGGAGATCAACTGGAGAGCATTCAAAATTGGTTCGATCAGGAATTTCTGGAATCCTTCAGCTAGTAATACAGCAGTAACTGGAAAGATACTATACAGCAGTTCAATCAGGAATGCACCAGGCCTTTATTGGTTTACTACAGCTGATCGTGCACAAAATCATCCCAATGTATCTTGTCAACTGATACTTCAATGCTACTGTGATTACATCATCTTCATGACCATCAACATGACAACCAAATCATACAATAAAAGCTGCATTACTGATCCTGTGGTTTGGAAGATACTACATAGCTTCTCAGTGGTATTAGCATGGTATCATGTTCATTCTGGGGGTGGTTTGATGACATACAACGATGACATACCAACAAGGCTGAACCCACAGCATTCCATCGACAATCAACAACCAATATTACTCACTGCTACCAGAACACAAAAGAACCTGGTAGCAGAATTTGTCCTACTAACTTGTTTGCTACTTTTTGCAGGTGGCAGATAGCTTCAGTTGGTTACTGCTTCTGCATGGAATGGATACAATTGACATTGTGCTACAAGTTATTTTTTCTCCAGCAAGAATACATAAGTATTTGCAATTGAGCATCTCCCAATACCAGTGGCGAAGCCAGGAAATTCAACAAGGGTGTTCAAACCTTTGCATTTGGGCTATGTAAGGGTGTTCAAAGTCTATTTTTAATCAATAACAAATAATATTTTACCTTATACGGAGTATAATTTTCTGGCGACCCTTGGTTGCACCCCAATACATCAACAGACAAAATTTCCTTAGAAATATCAGGCTGGAATCGAGCAGGAGCTGTTGGAGAACAGAGAATTCCCAGCAACATGGAACAATACAGTTAAAGCACAACACATTTGGTTTTGGAGTTGTTGAATGTCTGTCTCTGGTTGTGTCAATTCACAGTTGGTATAAATATAATAACATGCACATTGTGGGGGCTGATATATAAATTACAACATCAATACTTCAACATGGTTTCAGTACAAATCGATAAGTACTCATTGAGGCTGCAACTGCATGTATGCTTCTGCGACTACTTCAACAGAGCAATATTACACAGGAAGAACAAGTACTACTGTTTCTGCCCAACACCTCTCAACTGCTTAAGGTATTTTGAAGATATTAACTGTATGTATCTTTTCGAATCAATTCCTAGAGGTATTAGCATGTTACCATACTCATTCTGGGTTTGGTTAGAGAAATTACATCAACAATACTTTAACAAGGCAGCATTCAATACACAACAGGAAGCTCATTGGTCAGAGGCACTTAAATATGGGTTGTTGGTAGAATGTACCACTGAAAAAAGGATCTACAGCAACGAAATCTCAAACACATGAGTCCTGTATCAACAATACTGCTGGAAGTATTCAGCCACAAACTGAAGATGTCCGAAATGCTTTGCTTTGCAAATAGTGTATTTATACATATATACTCCTTTGTATTGCAACAAATGGCGTCTGGTGAGAGCTTTGAAGGCGCTACAACAAATTGTTTGCAATTGGTGTGCTAATTCATTGGCGTTGTCAACATTTGGATATTTCAAATTACTACCTTTGTATTTTAATTTATCTTTAGGCTACTGCTACATTTATTTGGTAGCAATAGCCGTTGGATTTATTTTTCGTATTTTTGGTTGTTTTACTTGAACATTTTGTAACTTTGACCTGATTTGGGATTTATTAAATAATAACGACTACTAGGTGAATAACCTAGTAGTATATTTGCAAAAAAAAAATAAAAATCTAGGGAAATGGTAATGGTGGACAAACTCAACTTTTAGCTACTCGAGCTAGTGTATTTGAAAATGGATCATTGTTATTGTCCTCCAATATTGCCTCTTCTGCCATTGGAGTTCTTTAATTTACTCCAAGAAATCCTTCGTTTCTAAGGGAGTAGTAAGGTGTTATGAAATTTGTATTTCAGTGCGATTACAGGAACTAGCCGAAATAATAAAAAATCTTGGATGAAACATGTCTCCTAGAATCTTACTTATACATGCCAAGTTTACTGTGTTTTATAGCTTCAATAATACTTATATTATGTTCATAACTTAAAATCCAAAATCAGCAGCTTTGGGAACCAATTGTCCCAAAACTAAATTGGATTTTTACATTCCTATATATTATTTGAAACCTTATTACCCTCCCTGCTCAAGTTTCAATTTAATTACAGTCATATACAATTTACCAATTATATACAAATAAAATTTAAATGAGTATCCATTTATATTAGGAATTGAATAAGGAATACCAATTATTTTCTTATTCCTTTATACTTGTTCACTCTCTCTCTTCGTGTCTCTGTCTGCTTTTTCCAGTGTACCCATCGTATAGCTTTCTTTCCAGTAGTGTGATCTTAATAAAAGAATATGATTTCTGGCAGTGAAACTTTCACACTTAATTGGTTATTATAAAATTTAGAGTTCACATAACAAAGATTGCAACTCAAAAGTGTGGATTACAAACATTGAAAAGAATTACTAAATTCAAGATGAAGATATTGTAGTAATTCATCAATGGATTTCTTGCTATATAGAGTTTCCACCATTGACAGTCATTAAACATCTTTGAAGTTTTGAAATTGAATTTGGGTTTTCAAAAATCATTATTTTTTGGATTGAGTGTTTTTGCAAACAATTGGGAATATTGTTTGGAGTTTATATTTCAATTTTGAGGGTGTTTTGGTGAAGATTAGACTTGATTTTGGTTGAATTTCAGATTGAAATTCGAAAAAGAAGAAAGAAGACATGACATTCAATATACTTACGAAATTGTAGTAAAGTTGTAGGTAAATTGTATTTTGTTGTAGTTCTATATATTTTTTTATTTAAATATTGTATGAAAGTTAAAAAATAGTTGTATTATGTATGAATCGTTGTATAAAATTTGTACTTAAGTTATCAATACTATCTTTTTACATAAAGTTGTTGATATGTATCAAAATTGTATTAAGAGAGTGAGTTTTGATTGTAATTTTAGAGAGGAAGAAGCACACACCATACACAAAATATATACAAATCAGATACAAAATATACAAAAGACACATTGTATAAAATTTGTATAATAATTGTATTTAAGTTGTATGATATTGTAGTTGTATTTAACTGGGTAAAAATAATGTATAAAAATTGTAGATAAATTGTAGATTAGTTGTAAATAAGTGTATACTGTATAGTTAGTTGTAATTCAATATTCAAAATGAAATGCAATGTGACTAATTCAATATTACATTCCAAGTCACAATTGACTATAATTTCATTGAGGGTAAAATTTGATTATGTAATTTGATCATATAACTTGTGACTATAATTGTCAAAAATGTCGATAAGTTCAAAATATTTCTGTGCCAATTCTCAGTACTTGTACTGAGTATTGTCATTTGTCTAAGTAATAAGGAGCACTATTTTCAAGTTGGTTACGTGATAGACTTGCATGCTTTCGATGCTTATGATGTAATTTTGATTTCCTCCGCGTTACGAAAGTAATGCATGTTTAAGGAAATAGAAGACACAAAGTGATTCTTCACCTATTCTTTCAAGGGCCCAGTAGAATGCTCCAGTATAAATTTCCTATTATAAGAATAAGGTTTGAAATCAACATGTGTGTGGTGTCCTTTTGGATTATGATGAGTCAAGTAAAACATAAACTAGTCAATTTTAGAAAAATCCCTATTGCAAAGATAAAATAAATTAATTCTTCTTCTGATGTACCAATAGTTGAAAGGTATTAATTGAAGTGGGAATGTCAAAAATTATATTATGCAAAGTACTAACTATGTTTACTCCGCGTACGGCGAAGTTGCTATACTACCATCAACAGAGAATACAACAACAATAACAACATAATATAATTTTATTAGTGGGGTCTGGCGATGAATAGTATATACGCAGACCTTATCCGTACTCTTGATTGAAAGTGGAGGGGGCTCACCGCTGGAGCAACCCACTCTTGTCAAGAAAATCATAAGCAAAAGGGGTATCCGTACAATGTCAAACTGCACCTCTTATTTGGTTTTTAGTTATGAATGTCACTTATATACAGTGGCAATATAAAGTATTCTTACACTATTAATGTAATTTTATGTGCTGTAATAGCTAGGCCACTCGACATGTTTCGCAAATTACTAATCCAGCCATCCAGGCTTATTATAAAATTTACCTTTAATTGAAGTTTAAGCGATTTGATAGGGTAAATTTTTTATATTGCCGTTGCATAATAGTTAAACTCTTTGACGGGTCAGAAATGAATTACGAGCCTGACCAAGCAGCGAGTCGAGCGAGCTTCCCGTGCATGCAATAATGTATAATAAATCTCTCATTTTAATTCAACGCTCTCCAATCGTGCGGGAAGGTTGCGGAAGCTCCACATACAGTTTTGACGCCGAGCATTTTCAGCAATGGGGCTTAGGGATCGATATGATAATTGGTTCAGGTAGGGTGGCTGGCCTAAAACGAAACCTGTAAAAATTAGTGTGTGAGACCGCGATCTACAAACTGGCGCATGAATTGATTATTTAACAAGTTTGTTTTCCTATAGATACAAAATTAGGATAATATTTACCCGCTTTAGCTAGGTTATTCTATGTACAAAAAGTAGCTAGAGTGTTTTTATAAAATATATATAAATGCGGTAAAAAATATATAATTTATATATAACTTGTATTCAACTTTTTATTGTACAGAATTCGGTTAAAATGTATAACTTGTATACAATTTTTTATTGTACAAAATTTAGTCAAATACATATAACTTGCATATACTTATTCAAGTTGTATGCATTTTCTATGTCGTTTGTACACTAGACATACAAAATATATATAATTTATTTATGTTTTTCTCGTCGAATTTAATATGAAATTCATATCAAAACCAATTCGAATCTTCATCAAATTCCTTCAAAATTGAGATATAAATTCCAAAGAAAATTCTCGGTCATTTAGAACAATATCCAATCAAAAAAATAAATAAATTCGCAAACCCCAATTTTCAAATTTAAAGCTTCAAAGTTGTTTACCACTAGTTATTAATGTGTGTATATCTTGGGTGCTATCCTCAGTACCCAGTACCCGATAAAGCACCCAAAATTCAATGCCATCCTCAGTGCCTCACACCCAAGATTATGCTTCGAAGCCACTTTTGTTGTAAATATGGTATTAGTAATATTCTGTAATTAGTTAACCTAATTTAGGGTTGCTCCTTATTGCCCTGTATATATAGGACATAACGTAATAATCTCAGAGCCTACCTAAATAATCTCCAATAATCACTCATGGCCGAAGATACATCAATTGAAGGCTGATCTTGCAGAATGCAAACAAAAAGGTATGACTATAGTTGATTACTGTGGAAAAAGCTTGTGAGAGCTTGCAAGTGCGGAACCTGCACTAGTGATCTTGGTACAGTTTTGGAGAAGAAAAGTCAAAAAGGAGAAGGTGCATCTTTTCCTGTTGGGATTGGATGAGACGATGTAAGGGATGTTGCAATCAAACTTATTTTCCCAGGATCCACTGCCAACATTGAATCGAGATTACCTCAAAGATGATTCAGGAAGAATGATCAAAGATATGGCTCGAAGAAGGGATAAGCGTAATGACATGATGGTTTTTCAAGTACAAAGTGCATCATTGTATAAAAATCGGGATGAAGAAAGGATAAGAGTACAATTTCCTCTTCTTGCAAACGACCAAAATACGATGTAGAAAATAATTTTTTGCTTATTGGTGGGAAGACTAACGGTCGCGGTAAGAGACAACATCAGCCACAAAAAGGTAACCCCAATGGAGGATGCGATCGCGGAGGTGTTGTACGGGCAAACGCAGTGCAAGCTGCAGGAGACGGACTAAGTGCACTGACAATGGACGTGGTGAAAATCGGGCTTTAGTAGGAAATAGTGGCAGATTTTGTTTGCAATATTACCAATAGCTAAATTCAAGTGAGAAGATGACAGGTAAGTGTGAAAATACATCTTGGATCATTGATTTAGGGGCATCGAATCATACGACAAGTAGTTTAAAACTTTTAAGTAACTTGCAAAAAATGCCAAGATGCCCCCTAACTTTGCGGAATGGAAACAACGCGGTAGCAATTATAAAGGAACCGCAGGCTTGAAGACAATTTGGTTCTTACAAATATTCTCTATGTTCGAGGCCTATAATGCAACTTAATATATATATCCAAAAATAAAAGTTGAATTTGACAGAAATATAAGACTTAGCTGTAAAATTGAAATAAACGGAAGATATCTTGGTTTCGGGCGCAGAACTACCGGGAGCAATAAGAACAATGCAAATAAGCAAGAAAGTAAAATATTATTTGAGCTTTAGATGAAGTATATTATATGCTTGTCAGAATATCATCTCTTTTCAATGATGATAGAGCTCACTATTTATAGTTACACTAAGGAACAAGGTCCTAGGATCAAGCTCCTCTTTAATGACAATTATGAGGGCCATTGAAGAATGTGTAATGATGGGTAGTAAATACCATATTATTTGTAACAGATCATGCACTTAATGCTATAGAATATCTTCATTGAATATTACCGGATGACAACATTTATTTTATCTTTAT